GCGTGCTGCGGCCTCAAAGCACCAAATCCAAGTTGAGAGTGATGTTCGATGCCTCAAGCCGCACATCGACACAGGTTGCGTTGAATGACATCTTGATGGTAGGCCCCACAAAAGATGTATCGCCAAGTGATGGTTGACGAAGCTGACCGAAACTATCAGCTTATAGTGTGGAGACGAGATCCTTCTGAGTCTCTGAAGATCTTCATATGGAACATCGCCAGCACCCTTCATGGCCATCTGGTGTTTAATGCGGCTTGGAAAGATGACACAGGCTAAGTATCCAAATGCCGCAAAGGCATTTGTTGACAGGCACCGGATGCGTTGTGAACCTGCAAAGCCTTCGTGATGAAGTGTCTCAGGTTTTGCAAGAGGCAGGTTTCGAATTGGCAAAGTGGTTTTCAAACTGCCCAGAGATCTCCGCATCTGACAGCGCAATCATGCCATTATTGGCTGACTCAGATGTAACTAAACCCCTTGGAGTGGTTTGGTTACCTGGTAAAGATTACTTCCAATTTCGTTTGGATGACTCTTTCCAGGATCTTCGTCCGACAAAACGAATAATCCTCCCCGTGACTGCGAGACTTTTCGATCCACTGGTCCTGTTGTGTCCTTTGGTCACAAAGGCAAAGATGCTTTGACAGGAGCTGTGGCTTCGAAAATTATATTGGGACGAGTCGCTACCGATGCAGCTACAAACGTCGTGGGAAGCCTTTAAAGCAACTCTGCTGCAACTGCCCAAAGTTTAGGTATCGCGGTTCGTTCATACAGATCCGCAAGTCCCGATTGAAATACACGGTTTCGCTGACGCTTCCATGCGAGCATATGGAGCGTGCATCTACGTTCGCACTCAAATTGCTGAAGGTTTTAAATTGTCATTACTGACGGCCAAATCTAAAGTAGCTCCCCTCAAGACGAAAACTTTGCCTCGCCTTGAGCTGTGTGCAGCTCACCTTTTAGCAGATCTTCTTAATCGTGTAAGGCCATTACTAAATTGCGCTATTAAAAAAGTGGTCCTAAAGTCGGTCCTCCGAGATCACTCTGTATTGGATCAAAGCTCATCATTCGTCGTTGTTCGTTTTAGTCTCAAACCGAGTAGCTGAGATCCAAGAGTAGTCGGAGAATGCAATTTGACGACACGTTCCCATGACAGTTAACCCAGTGGATATAGTGTCTCGAGGATGTGACGTTGAAGATCTCTTAACGTCCATTTGGTTCGCTGGGCCGTCATTTTTACTTGACACAGAAAGTAATTGGCCTGTAAATCAACACCTCGAACTCCCTTCAGAAGTCGTATCGAGTGAGTTACGCAAGTCGGCGTTAACTCTTGTTGTTACACCAGAGCCCAACTACCTGCTTCAGAAAACAGAGTCCTTTTCGTTGCATTTGAAGCTGCTGAGAATTTTCGTGTGGGTTTTCCGATTTATTCGAAGGCGTAAGAAGTTTTACAGCCTTTCGAAAAAAGCATTACGCCAAGAGAACTGAATTTTGCTTTCGAGAAAATTGTAGAAGTTATCCAATCTCACGAAATCAGTGACGACATAGGCGAAATTCGAAAAAAGAAACCGGTATCAACGCATATTCAAAAGCTTAAGCAGGAAAATAAATTTGATTGGTGCTCTTCGACATTATTGCGAGTTGGTGGTCGGTTATTGAATGCTCTTATCTCGTACGAAGCCAAATTTCCGTTGTTGATGACGAAAAGCTTACAGTTCGTTAAAACTTACGTGTCATATCTGCCCGTTACGAATTGTCACGCTGGTCCTCGAGCTCTTCTGAGTCTTTTGCGAGACAAAGTCTGGTTGGTCAATGCTCAAGACGTATGTCACCGAACCGTTCGTTCGTGCATGCGCTGCTTTCGATGCAACCCGAAATTCTTGACGCAAATTATGGGGAACTTGCCATCAGACAGACTCCGAGCTCTCCGCCCTTTTAATATCTGTGGCGTCGATTTTTGTGGGCCATTTTGCACGACATCCGTGGTAAAGTACCGTACAAGTCATATGTGGCCTTGTTTGTGTGTTTTGCGTCCAAAGCGGTCCACTTAGAGTTAGTGTCTGACCAAACTCCACTGATGCATTTTTATTGGATTTTCAAAGGTTCGTGAGTCGTCGCGGGATTCCGGAGAAGGTGTGGTGCGACAACGCGACCAATTTCGTCGGCGCAGATCGTCACCTGAGAGAGTTCCGGGCCCGTCTGTAGGAGCAGGGGGCGGTGTAGAAGCATTCGCATCAAAAAAAGGATGCGAGTTTGCGTTCATACCGCCCAGAACACCTCACTTCGGCGGTCTATGGGAAGCAGGTGTGAAGTCTGCAAAGCACCTGTTCCTTCGAACGGTCGGTCGCGACCTCTTGATCGCGGAGGAGCTCGGAACTCTCCTCGCCAGCGTGGAGGCGGTGCTGAACTCAAGGCCCACCGGAGCGCTAAGCAGCGACCCCAGCGACGGCGAAATCCTAACCCCCGGGCATCTCCTGATCGGCGGTCCTCTGGTAGCTCCACCACCGTCGGCACTCCCGGACCAGATCAGCCCGACCTGCTGCGAAGATGGCACAGTGTCTCGTCGCTCAGGAGTACGTCTCCAGTCTGCAAACGAGGCCAAAGTGGAACCAGGAGGTCCGAAACGTCGACGTGGGAGCGCTCTTCGTCGTCGGCGAGGACAATCTGCCGCCCCAGTAGTGGAGGATCGGGCGCGTAGTGGCGGTGCACGTCGGCGCTGATGGGAAGGTCAGAGTGGCGGCCGTCAGGACTTCAGATGGAATATTTAGGCGGATGACTCGTCTGGCTCTACTGCCAATATTCTCCTGAAGGACGTCGCCTCTTCAGAGGGGGCGTTGTTTAGTTATATTTAAAGTGTAACGCGGGAGCGGGGCTTTATAAAGCTTTTCGCTCAGGCTAATTCGGCCGCCGCTCTCCCCGCTCATTACTTTTGGGTTGGCATGTAAGAGAATTTGTATGAAATTAAAGTTAGTTGAAAATTGAACTCCTTATCGTACGCATTGCGTAACTCTCATTTTCGTTTTTCGCTAAAACTTGCAAAGAAATAAACCACACGATTTAAATCTTGCCAAGAAATAAACCACTGCATCACAAGTTTCTCGTATTTGTTGTCAATATAAATGCATATTGTTTTTTCAATAATTATTATTGGTTAAAAATAAGTTTAAAAACTTGCAAAACTTCTGACTGAAATAATAATACAAAGGTATAGAAAAATGCATTGATTTCGTAGTTTACGATGTTAAAATTTGCCTTCATGTATAAGTTAGAAATTAATAATCTATACATTTTTAAATTGCTGTTCACATAAAAGTAACGGGGTTATCTTTGAGAATATACTTATTTTTTAAGACTATTTTTATTACGCAGAAATAATATTGTTTTGAAAATCGAACTCCCTTAGGCATTGGACAAAGGTAATTCGAGGCAATCGATTTAACGTTCTTGAGTAAAAGTAGAACAAAACACAAGTTATATACAAAATTTCTAGGTAAGAAACAAATGTGGAATATAATAAAAATTTAGGTAGATCCTAACTGGGGTTTTACAACTTAAGTCAGACGTTTACAGCGCAGTGAAGAATATATTTTAAGCCCCACGAATACCAGCATCAACTTTATTACAAGGAAGTTTATTACAAATAAGAAAAAATCTTTTATTTGCTATAGTGTTTTTTTATAACCTATAATGTATTCAGTCTTAGAACACTGAGTCGCCACTCGTTGCCCTTCTTAGAACAATGTTTCCCAATTCAAAAGTGTACAAACTGGTACAGTGGTCAAACCAACTATTCTATGCCGTACAGATACAGTGGGCAAAGTGACTATTCTACGACATATATATTATACATCCATATATCGCTACGTCCCGAGAATTTAATATACCGAGGAGGGCATTTCGGAACAAGAAAGATGCGAAATATGAAAACAAAGTTAATGTAAGAACAAAAGTATTGTTATAACTCAAAAAATAGTTTTCCATACAATATAGTGTATCGAACTGATTTGTTTATCTCTGCTTGCTACCTAAAAGTGCTCAGATAAATTTGTAGGCTCATCCTACCAAATTGATATGTGCGGGACTGCCCGTGCCCAACAAATTGTTTTTTTTTTTACATTTTAAACAAATAATCATTAATTTCAGATCTGAAAAGAAAGCAAGATTTTATTTAAAGCAATTTCAATTTTAATTTTCAATCGCTTACGAAATATAAAATAAAACACTTCGAATCGAATGCAAAAATTAATGTTAACGGCGACGTTCAATCTCCTTCACTCTGTAAAAACTCTGAGCACGTTTTAAAATCTGCTCAAACAAAAACCCGCCGAGTCTTCTGTGACACTTCGGAATATCTTAGTTCTTGGCATGTCCCCCAGCATTAAACACAATATCCACTTTGTACGGAAATCATCTTGCAAGGGGTATAACACGAGATGAAAAGAATAACCCGTAAACAATGGAGCGATTTGTCAGTTTATGGGCTTGGAAATAAGTCTTAATAAGAAGAATGTTTCATTTTTTTTTATTTTAAAAGCCCGACTTAAAGACTCCCCGCTACGTACTTACTAAAAGTATTTTGCAAATTAATTTTGTTTATTAATTAAATTGTCTTTCATTAAATCTTCAGGTCTCTCCGAATTTCGGGGTTTGTGGGTGTGGGCATCAGGGTTATTTAATTATTTAAATTCTAATGTTCTTGCTTTTATATTTTCAAAGATTAAAAAAAAAAAAAATACGGACCGATGGACGACATAGTTTCCTGAATTAAGAGCGTAAAAGTGGGCTTTAAAAGTTCAATTAACATTATTTGCACGCAAGTGTACTTCGTGACATTACAAACATGTGATGTAAAAAAAAGTGGTCTTTAAATTTGCAAATTTGCAGTTTGAATTGCTTATTGTACTGGTTAGTTCTCATTCTCATTCATGTACCTGTTCATTTGAATTCATTGTCCTAGTTCAGTTCTCCATAAAATTAATTTATTTCTTTTGTATAATTTTTTTTAGACTTTCTTTACCTCAAGCAAAATCCAAAGATCCGGGTCCGATAAGAACATTGAAAGCTATAGCAAAACCAAAGGATATATACCCAACACGGAACTTGTTTATTGGGAAAACACAGAGCAAGTCTGCAAAACTTCGTGAAGTTGGCTGTTGGTACATTTAATATATGTTCAGAATTACTTTATATTGTATCGCACAATTGGGTCTGTATAGCGTTATATTATATGGTATAGTTAAATAGTGTATACACTAGTTGGCATGTTTTTTCTGGCGAATACAAAATAGTAAACTTTTGTGAAAGATTTAAATGGGATTATGATTTGATTTGTGTACCTACAATTCATTTGATTTATGTACAACTTAAGTACATAGACTTTTAAGTAAACCAAATTTTTTGAGTGGACCTGAAGTTATAAATAGTAATAAAATTAAGCATTGGCCAGGTTTTAAATTAATAAAAATGACTCGTCAAAACAATTATGCCAACCAGGGTACATGTTTTAAATTCGTAATATTTTTACAATATAAAAGCATTTAAATTGTCAAAAGTATCAAAACCTTGTGAATGCTATGTAAAGTTCGCATTTTACGCTTTTTAAGGAAAGTATAAACTCAACTTTCTTTCTATATATTGTTAACCTTAAGACTTTTGTAACGTGGTTCGTATGCTCTGTAAATTGATCCATTTGAATATTACAAAAAATTTAATCAAAATTTTAATCAAATCAAACCAATATTATTAAGTTATTCTTTTATAAAAAAAACTGCTGTGATTTTGTAGTTTACGATGTTAAAATTTGCCTTCATGTATAAGTTAAAAATTAATAATCTATACATTTTTAAATTGCTGAACTAAAGTTCACATAAATGTACCGGGATTATCTTTGAGAATATGCTTATTTTTTAAGACTATTTTTATTACGCAGAAATAATATTGTTTTGAAAATCGAACTCCCTTAGGCATTGGACAAAGGTAATTCGAGGCAATTGATTTAACGTTCTTGAGTAAAAGTAGAACAAGACACGAGTGATTTACAATATTTCTAGATAAGAAACAAACTGCTGTACGGGTTTATTAGTGTGGAATATAATAAAACTTTTGGTAGATCATAACAGGGGTTTTACAACTTAAGTCAGACGTTTACCGCGCAGTGAAGAATATATTTTAAGCCCCACGAATACCAGCATCAACTTTATTACAAGAAAGTTTATTGAAAATAAGAAAAAATCTTTTGTTTACTAAAGTGTTTTTTTATAAGCTATGATATATTCAGTGGTATTTGACGGTAAAATTTGAGTGTTTTATTTTGTGTACAAATTTGTTTTTATAGCATTAGGGATAAGGAATAAATAAATAAGCAATCCCTAAACTACCTATATATCAAGAAGTGTTTTGATTTTTATTATAAGCAGAGCACGAGATATTGTGGTCCTTCTGGTTCAGAATGACCACACAAGAAAGTTTGTATATATATCCATGTGTCGCAGATGCCTACGGCAACGTCCCGAGATTTTAACATACCGAGGAGGTCATTTCGGAACAGGAAAAATAGCTTTTTATAACTCAGCCAATAGTTTTCTATACAACAAAGTACCGAACTGATTTGTTTATCTCTGGTTGCTACCTAAAAGTGCTCAGTTAAATTTGTAGGTTCAACCTACCAAATCGATATGTGCGGGACTGCCCGTGCCCAAGACAGAACACCCTTATAGAAAAGATTGTTTTTTTTTTACATTTTAAACAAATAATCATTAATTTCAGATCTGAAAAGAAAGCAAGATTTTATTTAAAGCAATTTAAATCGCCTACGAAATATAAAATGAAACACTTCGTTGTTTTACTGTAAAAACGAATACAAAAAAGAATGTTACTGCATTTTGTTTTTACAGAGCGGCGACGTTCAATCGCCTTCACTCTGTAAAAACTCTGCCGAGACTTCTGTGGCACTTCCGTATATCTTAGTTCTTGGCATGTCCCTCAGCATTAAATAAAATATCCACTTTGTACGGAAATCATCTTGCAAGAGGTATTACATGAGATGAAAAGAAAAACACGTAAACAATGGAGCGATTTGTCACAGTATTGGATGGCATGACTTTAGGCTCGGTAATATTTATGATTTATTTTAACTATTGTATGTCTAAATAATAAGAATGTTTAATATTTTTTTTATTTTAAAAGCCCGGCTTAAAGACTCTCCGCTACGTACTTACTAAAAGTGTTTTGCAAATTAATTTTCTTTATTAATTGAATTGTCTTTCATCAAATCTTCGGGTCTCTCCGAATTTCGGGGTTTGTGGGTGTGGCCAAGAGGGTTATTTAATTATTTAAATTCTAATGTTCTTGCTTTTATATTTTCAAAGATTAAAAAAAAAAATGGACGACATAGTTACCTAAATTAAGAACGTAAAAGTGGGCTTTAAAAGTTCAATTAACATTATTTGCACGCAAGTGTACTTCGTGACATTACAAACATGTGATGTAAAAAAAGTGGTCTTTAAATTTGCAAATTTGCAGTTTGAATTGCTTATTGTACTGGTTAGTTTATTACACTGTTGACCAATCTGCTTCTAAATAAATTCTTTAAATTTGGTCTGAAGATTTTGAATAAATTTCATACTCATGCATGTACCTGTTCATTTGAATTAATTGTCCCAGTTGAGTGTTCCATAAACTTAATTTATTTCTTTTGTTTACCTATTTTAGATTTTCTTTACCTCAAGCAAAATCCAAAGATCCGGGTCTGATAAGAACATTGAATGCTATAGCAAAACCAAAGGATGTATACCCAACACGGAACTTCTTTATTGGGAAAACACAAAGAAAGTCTGCAAAACTTCGTAAATTTGGTTTTTGGTACATTTAATATACATATGTTCAGAATTACTTTATATTGTATCGCAAAATTGGGTCTGTATAGCGTTATATTATATGGTATAGTCAAATAGTTAAATAGTATATACACTAGTTGGTATGTTTTTTCTGGCGAATACAAAATAGTAGACTTTTGTGGAAGATTTAAATGGGATTATTGGTTATTTTTAACCACTTATGTACAACTTACATAGACTTCTAAATAAACCAAATTTTTTGAGTGGAACTAAAGTTATAAAAAGTAATAAAATATAGCAACCAATATTGTCAATACAATTATGCTAACCAGGGTACATGTTTTAAATTTGTAATATTTTTACAATATAAAAGCATTTAAATTGTCAAAAGTATCAAAACCTTGTGAATGCTGTGTAAAAAGCTGGCATTTTACGCTTTTTAAGGAAAGAATAAACTGAACTGTGGTTCTTTTTATATATTTTTGTACCTTAAGGGGCACAACTAGTGTGACGGCCAAAAAAAAGGTGATTTTTGTGAATTTTTATTAAAAAAAACTACTTGATCAATTATTTCAAAATTTTCAAAAAATATATTTATATATGTTTTAAGAATATACAGTGAAATTTTTAAAGAAAAAAATTTAAATATTTTTTAAGTTAGAGCCGATCTCCAACGGCGCTAAAAAAGGGCCTTAACTGCTGCAGTGATTCTGGCCTTCTCCGTGGCTGCTCTTAAAATTGCTATAACTCAAAAACTATTTGAGATATCGATTTTAAATGTTAATATGTTATTTTTAAAGCTGCAATCTACTGTAGCGAGCGGAGTATATAATTTTAATTCCATTTTAATTACATAAATATATATTCGTTGTATGGGCACATGCAAATGATTTCAATTCATATTTTAATTACATAAATACATACATTGTATATGCCCATACAAACTAACACATTCCTTCTCAAGTGTCCGGCCAGCGAGCCGGCCCTAAAATGCTGACCATGCATTCCCACGGAGACGACTGGCCTTCACACCAACTAACACTTAAAGCCAGCCGTCTCGTGGTATATATAAACATAAGGAAAATATGCCAATGCAAGTATATACTCCTATCGCTGCTCACTTCAGTTTTCAGCCTTTAAGAATATATGTTTGAGAATAAAGTTCAGTTCAGAATACCACTCACAACGGCACAGTGTTATAATTTGTATCGATCTTACAATCTAATTGTACATGGCGACCGTGACAGGACACGGAATATTTTTTTTTGTCAAGTACTAAATGAACGATACTAAAGAATAAATGAGAAAGTGAATTAAAAAAAAAAAAACGAACAATAATGATATCCACTGACAACAAAAATCTGAAATAAAACAGAAAAACAATTAATCATTACAAAAAAAAAAAAAAAACGCAAAGAACCATTTACAACGCATGGTAGGCAGGACCGCCCACTATGCCAACGATCTTGGATTTAAAAGACGAGTATTAGTACGGCAAGCAATATCCGCTGGCTGTGTCACCGTTGGAAAAGTATGGATGGTACACCCGTACCCCAAAAAGACAAGCCCTCACTTCAAGAGGCACTGGAAACACAGCCGAAGGATGGACCAAGACCTTTGACCATTGCCGAATATAAAGCAAGGCAAGCAGCGAGGGAGCGTCAGCGAGCCCAGGACAGGGACAACCGGTTAACGCAAATACCGAAAACTACACCCCAAAAAAAAAACAAAGGGGAGGCAAGCGAGCGAAACTACTCAAAGAGCGGGCGGTGATCATCGGGGACTTGAAGGAAGGAAGACCCCAAACCAACCAGGAAAAATTAAAACAGCGACTAAAGGAATTAAATTGCCTTCTCCACCGGGAGAAGAAGAAGCGGACTAAGTAATTAGTTCACCGCTTGATTTTTTTAGCACTTGCAACGCGTTTACGCGGGGTGCGCTAATTAAGCTCATTAACAACTTATTTTTTTCACATAAACTCATGTACTAACACACAACTTTTGGTGTAAACTTAATATAAGTAAAGCTATTGTAACTTGAATATTGCCGATATGTAAACTAAAAGTTGTGCACCTAATAACCTCATCATTTATAGGTTTACTAAACAGCTTATTCCCCCTACTCACAAAAAAAAAAAAAAAAAATAATTGATCACATTATAAAGCAAAAATGGGTCTGTGGAGCTCAAAAGAGGAAGAAATAAAAGACAATACGGCTAATGTCGTGAACAATGTCATTGTCGACAACACTCCTCTTTTTAACTCCATGTATATTCTTTTAATAATAATAACTGTAGCTCTATTGATACAAGTAGTGCTTAAAGTGCATTACATTTATAAAAAATTTATCAAAAGGAACATTTGTATAAAGAACACATGAGCCAAGCACAAGACCTCGACACAATTTAAAAAAAACAAAAAAAAGAGAACAACTCAAAAATATTCTTCACGAAAATTAATAAAACGATTATATATGCATATATAAATATTTAAAAAAAAATATATATATATATATATATATATATATTACATATCTTTGCTTACATGAGGAAATGAAATACAAACTTTTAAAACTAAGGGAAATATTTTATCATAGCGGTATAGGGAAATGTCTACAACTAAGGAGGCTTTAGAGAGAGTAATTGTAGAACACCCAGAGTTCGTTAACAGAAATCAGTTCATTTTAGGAAAATATAATAAGCCGATGACAATATATGATTTTGAATATAAGTACATGGAAGAGTTTGGCTTACGGTTTTCACCATTGATAAGCTGCTCAAGCACACAAAAGGCAATAATACTATCAACTATTCCTCAAGTGAAAGTTGAATCTGTCCTAGACCGCAACGAAATGCTGGCAGGAAATATACAATTCAAAATCAGCCTAAATATTGCTAATCAGGCTAATGAGTAGCCAATGGTTAAGACTAGAAAAATTCTTGGCTAATAAAAAGACCTAGATTTTGAGAAGTTATAAGTGTGTTAATAAAAATACACACATAAGGAAAGAAACGCTCGAAAAACATTTGGGCGAAATTACCATTAACGCCAACAAAGTAAGAAGAGCGATAGCAGTAAGTCGAGAATCAGTATCTACTTGTCATGAAAGTCAAGTAATACTTATACATAATCAGATTATATCTATTGTAAGAAAAGCTCTCGAAAAGTATGAGATTGTTTTCCATACACCAGAGAACTTTAAAGAACCAATAGAGGCAAATATAACAATTGCCAACACAGACGTCCACGATAATTCGTTGGCTGATATTTTTAAGGAAGATACCTGTGAAGATTTCTTAGGGCTCGAAAGGCCATTAGAAGTCTGCAAAACAGAAGTAAAGGTGGATCCAGCTAACATTAATAACATAGCTGAGGACTTGGAAGAGACAACAATGGCCCAAACCAATGTCCAATTCTTAAAAACTGCGGCTTCACTCATTCCTGAGTTTGATGGCAAAGCAGAAAATCTACGGAGTTTCATAGATGCCTTGGAGCTTGTAGATGGAATAAAGGAGTCATATGAAAACACGGCAGTCCAATTAATAA